AAGGTGGAGAACCGTGTGGATCATCTCGGGCTTAACCACCGGAGCAAAGGTGTCGGTGAAGTCGACGCCAACACGTTGCCGGAAACCACGAATAACCCAACGCACTTTATAGCGGTCAAGGGTACCATCGGGACTGAGCTTGTGTTTGAAGACCCAGTTCCCGGTAATCACGTTGGCGTGCTGGGGACGAGGAACAAGCTGCGAGTCCGGTTGCGCAGAAAGGCATCAAACTCCTCTTGCATCGCAGCCATCCAGAGCGGGTCACGAAGAGAGGCTTGAACGGAGGACGGCAAAGGCGACGACGTAGAGGTGGATGTCGTGTGGACGTACTCGTCTAAAGCATAGTGCGAGCTCGGGCGAAAAACTCCCGTACGGGCGTGAGTGACCGGGCCGACCGCGGGTGGTGAGCCCACAGCCACCGGTGAAGGGGCGCCAGGAGGCGATGTGGCCGCGGCCGAAAGCGGTGTCGCGGGCGGGGCCGACCCGCTAGGAGACGAGGTCGCGGCCAAAGGTGGCGCCGCATGAGCCGGGTCCGTGACCGGGGCCGGGCCGCTAGGCGACGGCGGCGATGGAGCGGCGGAGGGCGGCTCGAACATCAGGCCGGCAGGGGAGGCCACAGAGGGCGCCGCGTTGGAGGGCGGCGGCGAGGCGGATGTTGAGGCGGACACCGAGCCAGAAGACGGCGTCGAGGCAGGGCCGAAGCTGGACCCGGAGGCAGCTGGAGGCGGGTGACGCGCCTCAAAGCCAGGGGCGGGCCAAGGGCGGCACGCGAGCACCCCGGGTGAGACGCCGAGGGTCCCACATCATCAGCGGTGGGAGGGACAGCCGGGGGTACCTGCTGAAATGGAAACACATGCTCATCAAAGTAAACGTGCCGGGAGGTGAACACGCGGTGGGATACGGGATCGTAGCAACGATAGACCTTGGAGTTGGAAGGGTAGCCGATGAAGATACATGCAACAGAACGTGGTGCAAGTTTATGAGGAGAAGTGTCGGCAGTGCTAGGATAACATAGATGCCCAAAGATACTCAGACCATCATAAGAAGGTGGCGTACCAAAGAGGAGGTGGTGAGGTGCGTAGTTCCACCGCGGGCGGCAGGGCCGGAGGTTAAGGAGCAGTGATGCGGTAGCAAGTGCGTCCGGCTAGAAGCGAGGCGGCACATTATCATGAAACAGGAGCGTGCGAACACAGTCATTCAGAGTGCGAAGGACGCGTTCGACTCGATCGTTTTGCTGTGAAGTATACAGGCAAGTGAGACAAAAAATTGTGCCATGGTGCAACAGAAAGGTACGGAAGGCCAGATCTCTTTTCCATTGTCAGTCTGAAGAGCAAGAAAGGGACGCCCAAACTGCGTGCTGACATAGGAGTAAAAAGCCGTTAGGGTGGAAAGTGCATCCGACTTTCGTCGCAAAGGAAAAGTCCACACATAATGAGAATAATCATCAAGAATAACCAGATAATATAAATAGCCCGAATTACTAGGAACTGAAGAGGTCCACACATCACTATGAATCAACTGAAAAGGAAAAAGAAGCAATGGTGGTGGAGTTATTAAATGGAAGACGAACGAGTTTGCCGACACGACAAGCATGACAGGTATGATCCTCTATCTTATTACAACTGAAACTGAAACTCCTAAGAATATGACGAAGGGTGACGGGGTTGGGATAACCCAGACGAGCGTGCCAGAGGTTAACGCCAGCGGAGAGAGCGACCGGTGTGCTGGTGATGGTGGAAGGCGGATGCACCGGATAGAGCTCGTCGGTGCTGTCACATCGGTGAAGTGCCATCCTAGTTCGAGCGTCCTTGACACAAAAACGGCGGCGGCTTCGGGTGGCGGGAAAGTGGTCGCGGTGGCGCTAGGAGGAGCGGCGGCGGCGAAGGTAGGTGGTGGCGGCGGCGCTAGGGGAGAGGGTGGCGGCTGCAGGGGGTCATGGCGGCGGGGAAGAGGGAGCGGCGGTGGCGGCGGCGAGTGGGGAAAGGGCAGCGGCGGCAGGAGGTAGCACGGCGGCGGGGAAGAGGGAGCGGTGGCGGCGACGCGACGGGAGGGCGCGGCGGCGGCGGTGTAGCGGAAACTAGGGTTGAAACCTAAAAACTGATACCATGTATGATGATGGAATTGCATGATGTATTGATCAGGTGCGATCGCACGTATATATGATGTACAATGGTGAACCACGACCTCGACTATACAAGGAAATTAAGAGGTGGGCCCAATGCACAATATGCACAACACATATACTCAACACTTCCGACGCGTCTGGGTGTCAAATAATAATAGATATTGATAGCAGAGCCATCGCCGGTGGAGCCAAATGCGGAGGTCACATATGATATGATGGGTAGGAAGAAGGTGGTTGCCCCAGCAAGAGATAGCGGGTGAAGCCATAGTGGCGATAACGGTGACCATAGGCGCATATTCCGGCCATGGCTCCCGCAAGGATGGCGTTACCGAGCATCATCGCCTGCACTGGCCACAGCAGCCCTGTAACTTGCTTGGATAAATCTTCCACCAGTGATTCGTCGCAGCTGATCGGACATTGCTGGTACACAGTAGCGATCTGGTACTGGCAGGTAGCATTCGTCTCCATGAGCTGACGGTCAAATTTAGATATCAATATAAAGCTGTTGACACAAAATATCAGGTAACAAAAAGCATGCAATGGTGGACACACAAAAAAATTCGATGACCGAGAAACTGTTTACACGCATGGGGATGGAAATGACCATCTAACGTTTATGCATATTAAGCCAGAAATGAACAGGAAACCCTACTCAACTCAATGTGCCGCGTTCTACTGTAGTTGCGTGTAGTGAAGTCTAACAAAGCCAGTAGAGTAATGTACCTTGTGGGTCGCAGTGGCGATCAAGCGGAGAAGTCGATGCGGACTGCACCCCGTGTCTTTTTTGCTTAATATGCAAAGCATGGGAGACATGGAACTATGATATATACTAGCACTACTACTAAATTCAGAAGCACAATTGTGATGGTCCAAAAGGACCAGCTTTAGCATACAAGAGATGTCGGTTTTTCTTTATATTCTTTTTTTGTCAACAATATGTTGCTTTCTTTGTCTTATTCCTCTGTCCCAAAGCGCCCTGTGTCGTATCTTTATACGAAAAGTTTGCCGTTAGATCTTTCATGTGTATGCATGATTACCATCCATATCCATGCATGGCTCGGACCACGTTCTTTTGCTTATGCGAGTACCCTAGCCAGCTATCTGTTCATGGACCACTGCTTTGCGCGAAAGACCTCTGGTGCTCATTTGGATTTGGAGAGAAGCGTCCATGGAACTACGCGGCTGTTCCACTTCCACCAGCATGCATGCAAGATGTCTCCGAAGGCTAAAATGCCAAGAATTCACGACTACAAGGGCTGTCACCTCGCAGCGTCACAGGGATGGTTAGTCCGGCCGTGCGGCTGGGTTGTAGGAGACGCTTTCGCGCATCCTACGTGATTGCATTTGCATTAAAGTTTGTTTAATTGCACCACAGGGAAAGTGAAGAATTCTTTTCAAGATGTGGTGTGGATGTAAAATTTAGTGCTATGAAATCCGCAGGAGAAAAGAAAATTCGTATAGCCTATTAATAAAACAACAAATTTAGAAAATATCTCAAAGATTCCGACTCTCCAAAATTCATCTGGAAATCCTTTGAAAAAAGACCTGGTGTTTCCCGTAAATTGCGTCGGTGCTATGCTTTCCCTGGGACAGCTCGTCCGCCCAGCGCGACCATCGCGGACATCGTCGTGCGAGAGGACACTCACGACACGGCACGGGCGCTCCGCCGACGCCAGCCCTGGGCGCCATAGAGCACCGGCGCATCACGGCTGAGTGGTGCATGCACGAGTAATGCTACACGTACAAAGGATACATGCTTTTACATAAAGGTGGGTTTTGATTGGAGATTAAGGGAGAGAAGGGCCCACCCCATGAAAATCAGGGAGGAGAGGTTAGTTAGTTTAAAAAGATCCTAGTCAGCATGTAAAAACATGTAAACCTTTGTATGTTTAGCATTATTGGTGCATGCACTACCAGAACCCGTACTTTTCCTGTGGGTGCAGTATTTCTCTGTGCGGCCTGAAGCACCTCACAGGAATATAAATTATCCTGACGGGCGAACTTCACAGCGTATGAGGTGTGACAGTGTTGGTGACCCACGACTCGACTCGATGCGGCTCTACTACAAGACGATGCAGGCGCGTGCTCTCATCATGTCGATGACAGCGTTCCTCTCGATGCCCGAAGGCTTGCGTGCGTGCGGACTGTCGCCGCCGATGTGGGGAGCGCCATGGACGCTGTAGAAGTGCATGCTCTAGCCAATGCAACCAAAAGACCGATCTGATGGAAGAGACTAGGCAGCACATTATACGTCAACACTCCTCCTCACGCGTGGCTCCCTCAGGCCTAAACGTGGACTGAAAATGGACTGCAATTTTAATTGCGCCAGCCGGGTCAACTTAAGACCTCTTGGCTCTGATACCATGTAGAAGTGCATGCTCTAGCCAATGCAACCAAAAGACCGATCTAATGAAAGAGACTAGGCAACACATTATACGTCAACAGACGCATTGCGCTCCTCAACGACATGGACCGATGGACGGCGATGCAAGGAGTTGTCTCTTCCTCCGGCCTTGCACACGGGCTACACATAACTACACAACGGTTTAGTAAAGGTTAAGAAGTCACATTCCCAAAAGCAGTAAAATAGCACCACAAACTTCTCATATCTTTAGCACTCGAAAAGCCACAATCCAGAAGCGGTAAAACAATACCACTATCCCCATGTCTCATCTCTCCCACACACTTCCAATCTCTTGTTGGATAATAGAAATGAGTAAAAATAAATAAAAAGGGCCAGCTACAAGGCCTTAAATCACACTCACACCCAACAGCAAGACCTTAAACACACTGACAACCAAGAGAAACAACGAAAGGAACTGAAATCCACAGCTAAGCATGCATATCAGCGTGTGCATGAATAGGCAGAGCAAACTTAAACACCAATGGCTGGAGCACTTGCAGCGGTGTCGCCGGGCCTGTCGATGATCCCGATGTGGGTGATCAAGGCCCAGAGGAGCGTGATCAGCTCGCCGCCCCGATCGACGGCCTGCAGGTGCCCTTTGAGATTGTCCGACGGAGCCAGGTAAAGGATCAACTCCGACCAAAACCCGGCCAGCAACTCCCACTCCATTTCCTCGCCTCCAGCCAGCTCCCTGAGCTGCTTTGCAAGCTTTGCGGCATCCTTGAGCACCTCATGATTCTGTGTAGCGCCCAACAACTCGACCAACTTCTGGTACGCTGCTTCCGGAGTCATGGACGACACTGGTGTGCCACCGCCGGTGGCAAGGGCTCGCTTGGCATCCTTCTTGACTTTCTTGTACAGGTGCTTGCTCCATGCATCATCATCAGGAAGTAGCTCGGGGCAGAACTCCACTAGATACGCGCAATAGCGCGACAGGTGAGTGGCGGCGCTCTTCATGTCAGAAACAGAAGAAGGCCGGCCATCTCCTTGATGGTGTGGGTGCCTCACCTCAAGGATGGCTGTGGCGATGTGCCACACAAGTATGGTGTCAGATGTACCTTTGTTGTTGTTGCAGGCCCAGAGTAAGCTTCTGCCAATTTGGCTCTGGCGCAGGGTTGTCATGCCTTTGCTTAGACCAGCTCCATTGCTTCCACTAGTACTTCTTAGGGCGTTGATGATGCAAGCCTTCACTTCTGATGGTACCTTGACATTATTGCTCTTTCGGTCCAGCAAACGAAGGAGGCAGCCAGGTAAAACAAGTTGGTGAAATTGCATGCGTTGAAACACCAGCAATGAGCTTTGTCTCATTTTGTCGTTCCAATGCCTCAGCAACCAGTCGCATCTGCATCGCAACAACCAGCCAACCCATTTTGGGACGACGGGGGGAAGCTTCAAGGAGGCACGGCGCACACAGCGGCAGGTGAGAATTACTTTGGTCCAGCTAGAGCATATGTGGGAAGCAATATCCCTCGCCTCAGCAACCACGACGAACACAGTGAGTAACAGACCTGGCACTAGATCAAAATGCAGACGTCCAAACCTTATTGCTCGTTGGTTACGCCTCCCGAGTTTGCTCATAGAACAGAAGTACATGCAACTAATTATGGCCCTCTCCTGAGGAAATATCCTAGCTTCTTTGATGACGTCCAGAACATAAAGTATGCAGTAACATATGCTCAAGAGTGAGATGACCATACTTAATGTTGTAGTAAACCAGCTACCTGGGTAGAGGACTGGGAGTGGTGAATCATAATAATCATGAAGAAAAGAAAGCTCATCTGCAATCATCCTGAACGCTCTTTCATGTTCACCATCCTTTAGCATGACCCTTCTGACGAATTTGATGGTCTCCTTGGTGATAACGTTAGCGAGTTTGTACCTTGCAAATCGACACCTTAGCAATTTGAATAATGCAAATGACAAGCATATATCTTTCAGTCGTTGTGGCATTGGCATCAGAAACATGGTGTCCAACTGCCAAACTCTTTCAATGGTCACCAAGTTGCCATCTTGAAGTGCCTTCATGTTATTTCTGAACATGTAACCATGAGGTTCAGGTTGCTTCTCGACTTGCCGTTTGTCCTCACCCGTAACTACAAGTGGTGGTGGAGGCACATTCACATCCTCCTCACCATGTTGATCATCTCCTTCTTCTCGCAACAGTTGCTGCATATATCCAACAATAAGACGAGGATTCCGTCCGAGTGCAAAGGATTTCCGGGCCTTTAGAAATGCATAACATTTCAATGCCATTTTGGCATAAATAAGAGCAAAAGGTGTTATTATGAAATAAGCTCTTGCGAACTCAAAAGATCGTCCACCACCAATGCTGGGGATAGCTAGGTAAAGAATCCAAATTCCTTGAACAAGAAGTTCAAAGGGGGGGCGTACACTTCGATCTTCTCGATCATCAGTAGCAACTACCGGGCTTGTATTGATAGCACAAATCAAAACAAGGCAGGTGGATGTTATGACCATGCTTGTGTGCAGGCCTGGTGCCCAGCAATTGGCTATCAATTCTTCGTGGATAAGAACATGAAAGGGATGATCCACTGAGCCACTTGCCGAGATGACGTAAGATATGACGGGTAGGAACAAGGTGGTTACCCCCAGCATGAGATAGCGGGTGAAACCATAGTGGCGATAACGGTGGCCATAGGCGCCAATTCCAACTATGACTCCTGCAAAGATAGTGTTGAGGAGCAGCATCGCCTCCACTCGCCACAGCTGTCCTATAATGTTCTCGGAGAGCTCTTTCACGTTTTGCTCAGTGCACTCCTCAGAAGCATCCGCCATGATCGCTGATTGTAAACTTTAAATATCAGTGTAACCGTTTGACACAAAAAAGAAGACGATAGTGGAAGCAACTATTGACATAATGCAAATAGAAATGACGCATGCACAGTGTACTCAAAGGTTCAAAACTATACCCAACACATGCAGAATTAAGTCGGAAATGAAATAAAGAAAAAAAACAATCAAAAGTTCAAAACAGTACTCAACACAGTGTGCTGCTTTCTATGCTAGTTTTCCGTAGTGAAGTCAGCACAGGAATGTACCTCGTGACGTCGTAGGAGCGATCAAACGGAGCCGAGATCGACGTCGATGCCGTCCGCTTGGCCTTGTTTGATTATTTTTTGATATCTGCAGAGGCATGGAACAGGGAACTAGTAATATATAGACAAGCACATTTGCTATGTCTCCCGCACGACCAGTCTTATCATCCAATATAAGAGATGCTGTATCTTTATGTTTTCCCCTTTTTATCTTTGAAATATGTTGCTTTCGTTTTATCTTTATCTTCCTCTTTTTCTGCTAATAATATGTTGCTTTCTCTGTCTTATTCCTCTGCCCCAAAGCACACTGTGCCTCGTCTTTATTCGGATGGTTTGCCGTTAGATCTTTCATGTGTGTGCATGATTGCCATCGTCCATGCATGGCTCGGAATATGTTCTTTGCTTCTGCCAGCGAGCCTGTGTTTTGATTTTTGGTTTGAGCTTTTTTTTCGCCCTAGGCCGAGATGGTCGAATTTCTGCCATTTTCAAAAATTTCGGCTAAAATTTAACCAAATTTTGACTTAAATTTGACCAAATTTTGCCAAATTTGAGCAATTTCGGCCTAAATATACTTTTCGCCCCAGGCCGAGATGGCCGAAATTCGACCGAAATCCACTTTTTTCGGCCGAAAATCAGAGCCCCGGAGCGAGCCAGCTATATATTCATGGACCACTGCTTTGCTCAACAGATCTCTGGTGCTCATTCGGACTCGGAGAGAACGTCTATCGATGGAAGATGTCCGTCCGAAGGCTACGTGTGTGTGTGGATTGCCATGGCCGGCGAGGGCAGCGCACGCAACAATGATCACGTTGAGACACCGAAGCGATATGCAAAGGCGATGGTTGTCTTCCTGCGATCCGGCCTTGTGCGCGGGCTATACAATCCAGCCCGGCAACTTTGCGGTGCAGCTTAAGAGGAGAACTGAACACATCCACCACACCACATGCCTCGACCGACCATGACGAGTGACGAAGCTCTCCGTGTACGACACCGAACCAGCTGGAGCCACCACCGGAGAACCGAACCTGCTCGGCGTGTCAGCCACCGGAACAACATTTTTCCTCGTTGCTCGGCTAGCCTACAGAGCTTCGGCGGGCTGCTCCACGACACCTGTGTGACGTCAGGCAGGGCCCATGCCTCTTCAGCCTTCAGCCTTCGCCTTCTTCTACCACAGCACGGGCTCGAGGTGCCCACGGCAAAGCCTCGATATCGAAAGTTGCATAGCGCTACAAATTTGCTGGAACATTGATTGTCCACGTTTGGAACATCGCAGCACAAACATAACATTAACACCAATGTTCACAGTAGGACCTTGAACACGCCAGTGCTTTGCATACCACTAAAACTCTACGAAAGCACAAGTTTTAGTTTGTTAAATAAATTTTAGTACATGTGGGAGTGAGCCTAGCTCAACTGGTTGGGGAGTGGATGTAAAAATCAACACCTAGGTTCTTATTTATTCTTGAGGACCAGTCTTTCCTGATACTTGGTGCAGAGCCGGGGGAGTGAAATTCTCTCGCAATTTTTTTTATGGCTGCATGCACCAATTGATGCAGGGGATCATCCTCCTTTTCAAAAGAAAAAATGTAGGAGGCATGCGGCTGGCTTTGTAGGTCGGGGAGAGGAGGCTCTGGTGTTGAGGGTTGAACGACTAGGACAACGGTGATTGGGGAGAAAATGGTCCGTCATAATTCATTTTCTCAAGATTCAAGAATTGACATTCTTCTATCTGTACCACCTCTAGGCTTCAAATTTTATTTACAGATCAGCTCCATCATTGTCATATATTGTTTATATGGTTCCAAGATTATCGTAAAAATGTGAACTACTCAAATAGTTCATTACACACACATGAAAGCACAAGATGCAGCACAATTCAATTTCTCTAAAAGATATAGCTAACACAAATAATTCATCAATCCTTATATATGTGACATAGTTTACATTGTATTCATGGAAAATTAAATATTATACAAGACATAAATTTGTACATAATTTAGATACACATACAAACTATACTTAGTTAAAGTGGATGTGGGCAATTATTTGATATTTGTGTGCATATGAGGATATGTGGCATATGACACCCTTTCTATGCAGTGGGGTAAGAAGGCTCCATCGCAAGGCCACACATGCCTTTCTTGTCGGTAATGTCCTTCTCCATTCTTAAATATCCGTTCTCGCCCCATGTTGTTCCCCATGAATTCTTCAACAACCAATACTTTGTGTCGTCGCTGGTCTTGCCATAACCAATAGCTGCAATACCATGGTCTAGGTCAGTGCCACATGAGCCAGTCATCACTCCACCTTTGTAAAACTGGAACGTCATATCTCCTCCATCTACAGCTACCGAGACGGGTTGACTTGCGACGGCTTGCATGAGGGCTCCCTCGTTGTTGGCTGGAACATCCTCATAACTTTTGATGGTTGCGGCACCATTGGTTCCACTCTTGCACTTGTCATCTGCCGCGGTATATGGGTAGTTGGACTCAGTGGTGAGACCGCCATTTTTGATAATGAATTTAAAGGCATCATCCATGAGCCCTCCTTCACAACCTTGGTCTTCACCATGGACATCACAATCCACCAACTCTTGCTCCGACAGTGAGATTAGCTTGCCAGTTTTCAGCTTAACGATGCCCTCCGTAGCAGCGACAGCAGAAAACGCCCAACAACAACCTACACATGGTCATGTTTTGGTAGATACTATAAGATGAAATTCTCAAAAAAGTAAACATATATCCAATACATCATTATCCTTAATATACTCACCACATTGGCCCTGATCCTTGATGGGAGTAACTGCACCTTTGGTCCTCCAGTCTATGGTTTCCGGAAGTGCATCGAGACTTACATTCTCATACCTGAATCCGGTAGGCACCCTCTCCAAGCTTGGTTTGTACCCCTTGTTAGCCTTTGTTGCCTTGAACTCCTCGTTGGTTAGGTCGGTGAACTGATTGATGCCCAAATAGAACTTGCGGTTCTCGGTATTAAATGACTTGATGAACCCGACATTGGCCTTGAACACCTCAAATCGATGTGCCTTCTCAGTAGTGTCCTTGTACACACGGTTGTACTGCACCATCCAGCTCTCATGCCTTACAACCATTGACAAGTCATCGTTGAGCTCCCGAGCTGCTAGGACCGAACTACAGAAGCAGAGGCACCCGAGGATGCTAAGGATCAAAGCTTTTGAGATGGTCATATGTGCTCTGCTTTGATGGATTGCTTGCTACTACTGGTCTGCAATATGTGCTCTGCTTTGTGTTTCTGCAAATGAAACTAGGTATCATATATAGTGTGACGCATGTATTTAAGTATAGGAGATAGAGATGGACTCCAGCGTAGTGGTGAAGTACGTCTAGTGGGCAGATATTATAAATCAAGCGTACTTAGCGTCTGGTGCACAGATGTTATGCTGAATGTGCTTGCACGTTGATATTGACAGATTTCTTTAGCGATGCTATTCCTATGTATATCTATAACATTTTGGAGAACAATATATATAAGTTCATTTTGATCTTTTCAATGCATGTATAAACTTTCTACAAACTTAATTTATAACATTAAGTTTTAGATTATGTTGATTTACATAATTGTAGGCACCTATAGAGAATATAGCTAAGAATCCTTGTAGCCTACCAATATAAAATGATTAGATCTGACCACTTGTAGAGACTAGGAGTGTAACACAAACATAATAAGTTGATTAAGACAACTTAAATAATCATATCATTCGTTGGAATAAGATTAGTTAACTGTTCTTAATTTAATTCGGAGCCTAAAACATGGTTGGCACTCATCTTGCATTTTCTATTCTATATGGACTGCATGAGCCCCAAGCACATGTCAAGTGCAAGAATTTTAATACCGCCAGACGTACTTCCCTGCCACTCAGATGGTCCTTTCCATTCACAACTTCATAGAAGTACCATATCTCACAACAGTTGTGGTGGCCGTGTTGTGCGGGTGGACACCCTGTATAGCGTGTGATGCAATTGATGGGTTGTGCGGCGTTGTAGCTCAAGGCTGAACAGTAGTATGTAACACCCTGCAAAGTAGATACACTGTGCACAGCACCAAGTCACACACCCAACCAACACATCCAACACTTTACTCCTCCTCCCCTTGATTTGTAGGCCTACCAAAATCATACACAAGAATCGAGTAGAGTACACACGCATGGATAGGTGGGTCGGGGCAATAGAAACATTGATGGGTAGCTGAAAGCCAAAGTGAACACATGGCACACACACGCACAGATGGGACCAATGCAAGAGGAAAGGAGATGGTTGACTGTAAAAGGCGACATCCACGCAAAATAGTGCGGAGGGCCCACAACACCCCATTTCTTGCAAGCATAATAAGTTGGGATCCTCTGGCACCCTGAGCTTCACTGGCAACACAGTGGGTTGCCTTGACCCAATCTCTCCCTCTCTAAGGGCCAAGTTCTCATCTTTGGGAGCCTGAAGTTCACCGCCAACTAATTCAGCAAGACATGTCTCAGCAACCCCGCACTTCACCGGGCACACGAGCCAATGCTCGGGCATTACCTGTGATCTACATTAACAACCCACAAGCCCACCCCAACTTACTAGCTTGTGGAAAAAGTGGAGTCCATCCTCCATATATTGGATGAATATGAGTTTGAGGACGAGAGCTCAGATAGTCACCCTTCAGTAGTAGCACTGGAGGAGGTCCTCATGGTCAACACCAACACTAACACTCCAAGCGCTAATTCGCCCACAACCCCGATGGTGCGAATGCAGCCAGGCCTGCGGCGAAAGCGGCCACAATGGCCGACCTTGGAGTCCTTCACACGTTGAACATCAGCGATGATCCGAAGATAAAGGCCATGGAGACCCAACGTAAAGCCCTTACACAAGCACATCTATGTCTGCAGCGCGATTGGGATGCTCCTGCCAATAGGTGGGCAACCACCATCGAGAGGAGTGGCAGAGGCCGCACCATGCGGCCCCGCCGACACTACTCTTGTGGTAGCATGCGCCCACTAGGTCCACATCGCCATCCTTGAAGGGGAATCGGATGATGTGATGGTTTATCACACCCCCATTCTATAACCTTATAGCGATCGCGTAC